GAAGTGGAATAGCTGGGTCAAATGGGACTTTCAATTCCAGCTTCTTGAGGAACACCCAGACTGATGCCAACAATTGCTGCACCAGTCTGCACTCCCACTAACAGTGAACAATTGGTATTTGTCTCCAAAGCCACGCCAGCATTTGTTATTGGTAGATTTCTTGATCCTTGCCATTTTATCTAGAGTGAGACAGAATCTCAGTGTTGTTTTAATTTGCATTTCTCTGACCAATGATGTTGAAAAATTTTTTAATCTATTTATTTTCAATTTGTATTACTTTATCTGAGAAGTGTGTATTCATCTCAGATGCTCATTTTTGGATTGGGTCTTTGAATTTAGGGATCTGATTTTTTAAAAATTCTTTATATGTTCTAGACAGAAGTCGTTTGTGTGAGGAACAGTTGACTAAGAATTTTTTCCCAATTTGTGGGTTTCCTTTTCACTCTGTTGGAGATTTCTTTTGATATGCAAAAACTTTTTCATAAGATGTGATCCCAGTTGTTGATGTTGGAAAGTATTTCCCATGCAGTTTGGTTTTTCTTCACAAATACTTTGCCTATCCCTATGTCTTTAAGAGTTTGAGGAGTGTTAGCATTAAGCCTTCTTTGAATTTCTGGTAGAATTGTGCAGTGAATCCATCAGGAACTGAGATTGTCTTTGTTGGTAAGGTTCTAATTATACTTTCAATTATATTAATTCAAATTGGTTTATTTTGCACTTTTATATCTTCATTCAGCTTTGATAATTCATGTTTCTTGGAATCGGTCTATTTCTTCTGTGTTAACAAACCTAGGAGGTTAAAGTTTTTTGAAGTAGATATTATCTTCTGTATTTCTACATGGTCTTTGGTGATTTTGCCCTTTTCATTCCTTATTGCATGAAATTGAGTTTTTTCTTTTCTTTTTCAAATAATGTTGGCTAGGGGTTTATCAATTTTATTTGTTCCCTCAGAGAATTAACTCTTTGACTCGATAATTTTTGTAATGTTTTCTTAGCCTCTATTGCATTCATTTATGCTCAGATCTTTACAATCTCTTCTATTCTTTTGGCTTTGAGCTTGACTTACTCTTCTTTTCCTAAATGTTTGAGATGTAGACTCAGATTTTCTAGTTGCGTTTGTCCTGTTTTCCCGATGTGAGGTTCACTGCAATAAATTTGCCTCTGAGAACTGCTTTCATTTGCATCCCACAGGTTTCAGTAAGTTGCATTTATATTTTTATTTGCTTGTAAATATTGTTTAATTTCTTCGGTAGTTTCTTGTTTGACCCATTGATTTTTTAGGAGTGCATTATTTAATTTCCATATATTTATGGCATTTTTGCAGTTCCATTTGTCATTATTTTCTAGTTTCATGCCCTATGACCAGACGATATGCGTAAGATAATTTCTATCATTTACATTTTACTTAGCATGTTGTATGGGCTAGTATATGGTCTACTCAAGAGAAAATTACATGTGAAGCTGAGATGAATGTATATTCTGATGTTGTTGGGTGGAACACTCTGTAAATGTATACTAAGTCCATTTGTTCACAAATTTTATTTAGAATTTGGTGATTCTCTGCCTCATTGATCTGTCTCTTTTTGTCAATGGGGTGTTAAGATCTCCCTTTAAAACTGTGCTATTGCTCATTTGAATTTTCATTTCTATTAATATTTGTTTTATGTAGTTGTGTGTTCTCATATTTGGTGCATATATATTGAGTATTTTTGTCTCTCCTCTTGAAGTTTACACCTAACCAGCATGCAGTGATCTTCCTTATCTCTTTTGATTATTCTTAGTTTGAAGTTCACATTGTTCACATAGCAAAGAGAATAGCTACCTACACGTGCTTTTTGGGAGGGATCCTTCCTGTTGCGTATTGTTTTCCATCATTTGACTTTCAGCCTATGAATTTCCTGTTGAGTTTGATGGGTTTTTGTATGCAGCATATTGTTAGACGTTGTTTCTTGCTCTATTCTGCCAGTCTGTTTCTTTTAAGAAGTGTATTAAGGTCATTTAAAGTAAAGGTTATAAGTGATATACATTGGCTTATTTACGTCATGATGTCTTTCTACTGTTGATTCTTTACATTTCCCCTTTGTTTGCCTTGTGAGGTGTTTTTTTCCTGTTGATGTTCTTGAAGTCATAGTTATTTTAATGTCTATCTAAAATATCTTTCAGTATTCTTTGCAGGGTTGGTTTGGGATCATGAAGTTCTTCAGCTGTTCTTTGTTGTGGAAATATCTTATTTCTCCATCAATTTTGAAGGACTGCTTTGCAGGGTACATTACCAAGGTTGGAAGTTGTTTTCCCCTGGGATTTAAAATACTTCACTCCATGATCTCCTTGATTTCATTGATTTGTTGAAAAGTGATTCTTTCCATTACAAATAATATGTCTTTTTTTCTCTGACAGTTTTAGTATTCTGTTCTTATGTTGAATTTCTGAGATGGTGATTATTATATGTCTGGGTGTAGATTTATTTTGGTTATGGCTAATTAGAGTTCTATATGCTTCACTTCTCTGCATGTCAGTTTCCTTTTCCATACTTGGGAATTTTTTGCAATTACTTCTGTTAAATATTCTTTTATATCATTTATTTTGTCATTTTCTTTTTCACTTACACCTACCAATATTATATATTTTTCAATCATCTTGCAACTGTTCAATTGCTATTTCCTTACTCTCCGCTGTTTTTAAAACATCTTTCCTTTCTTGTTCAATAGCTGCAATCTTGTCTTTAAGGTCTGAAACTCTATCTTCACATTCATTCAAGTGGTTTTGCCAGCTTTTTATGAAATTTTTGATTTTGTGGCTCTCTTTTTGAATCTGTTCATGCATCCTAATTTTTTCTTATATTGTTCATTCAAGTTTTCTATCTTGTGGCAGTGTTCCTCAATTTTTAAAACTATATCTTCTTTATTTGTCTTCAAGCATTTTTAAAATTACACTTATCATATCTTCTTTTACCTGGGAGATTATTTCTGTTCAGAGTTCCTGTACAGTTTCATAGGTTTCTTTCTTTTCTTCTGTTGTTATCATTTCAGCAGTTTCAGATGTAGGGCTTACAGTTTCTTCTATGTCAGTGTCTCCTAGGCTTGTTGGTATAGGTTGGAGATTTGAGGATGCATTTTTCTGTCTCACTTTGTTATTTTCCTGTATTCTGTGGGGGAAGTTGAATGCAAGGCCTCAGTTGCTTCCTGGGTAAAGAATGTCAGTTGATACTGCAGGGAGTATCTCCAACTGAATGGTGGTAATTAGGCAGGACTTATCAGGTTCCTAGTCGCACTCAAAGGCTCCTCAAATGGAGGAGTATTCTGATTAAGCTTTAAAAATTCCCAGGTGGTACTCCAAATCTTCAGAGCTGCTTGAGGTTGGCGCATGTGTCTCTACAAGGTTCTGAGTATCATACCAAGGCTGAACAGTTAGATGGAGTATGCTTTCCAGGTCTTCAGCTCATGTCACATGACCATCAAAGATCCTCAGCTGCTTGGTATCCCAGGATGGGCCCTACCAGGTTCAGAGTGAGAACAAAGTTGTATGGCAGTGGTGAAAGGTGGTGTTTGTTGTTCAAGACTTTTGAATCCTTTTTTTTATAATTGGGATTCTAAGTTCCTTTCAGAAATGCTTAGTTAACAAATGCAAGTTTCAGCATATTTATATGCTCTTAGTTTTGTTGAATTTTTTACCTTTCACACTGTATTCATGCAAAGAATAGAAAACTCAGCTTGATTTGGACTTGACCTTTCTTCTCTTAGTCTTACATTTTTGTAAGAAAATAGTCTTACATTTTTAAAAGAAAATAGGAAGGTGTGAATCTCCCTAATGAACACAGATGCAAAAATCCTCAATAAAATATTGGCAAATAGGATGCAGCAAATCATCAAGAAAATTATACACCATAAGGTATGCAAAGATCCTAGGATTGTAGAAATGTAACATTCAGCAGAAATGTTATCATTTCTGCTGAAATGATAACAACTGAAGAAAAGAAACAAACCATAATCATAAAGTAATAAAAATTGGTGGTTTAAATCATCTGATTATAGAAAATGTAGCATCTTGGGGTCTGGATATATTTTCATTAGTGGTAAAAAAAAGCATGGAAAATGGCAGAGGAATACAGAGTCAATCTTACCCTCCCCTCATACTTCTTCTTTTTTGTTTTTCTTTATTTTGTTTTCATTTTTAAAACATTACACTTTAAACTTACTGGCTTAACTTTTTCTGATCCAAGAAAATAGGAAGGTGTGAATCTCCCTAATGAACACAGATGCAAAAATCCTCAATAAAATATTGGCAAATAGGATGCAGCAAATCATCAAGAAGATTATACACCATGACCAAGTGAGATTCATCCCCGGCATACAGGGGTGGTTCAACATACATAAATCAATAAATGTAACCCACCATATCAATAAAGCCGAAAGTAAGAATCACATGGTCATTTCCATAGATGCAGAAAAAGCTTTTGATAAGGTACAACATTCATTTATGATAAGAACCTTACAGAAAATTGGAATAGATTGTCTTTGCCTCAATATAATAAAGGCCATCTATGACAAACCAACAGCCAACATCATATTAAATGGTCAAAACCTGAAAGCCCCTAATAAAATATCTTTAATGAAGTATTTCTATTTCATTTTTTGGGAAGCCTTTGGATTCCTTCACTTACCTCAGATGGATGATAAAAAGCCTGCAAGTGTTCAAACATAAGACAAAGATACCTATCAGATAGATTATGGAAGTTTTTAGCATGAAGGAGTGCTATGGAATATCAGAAAAACTCATCCAGTGTGTTTATTAGACACATTGCATTCATTCATTCATTCTTTCATTCAATAAACATCTGATTCAAATCCAATTTCTACCTCACACATCTATGCATCCCTACAACTGCCTATGAAGGAACTTTCTTGAAACTCTCTTTCTGTCTTTTGATGATAACCAAGAATTTCTTGAACAATCTAAGCATGCATAGTATCATAAATTGCACATTATCCTTGTCTTCTCAGATGCTGGAGCCCCCACCTACATGTATGAGTTCCAATATCGACCAAGCTTTTCATCAGACTTGAAACCCAAGACTGTGATAGGAGACCATGGAGATGAAGTCTACTCAGTGCTTGGGGCTCCACTTGTAAAAGGTAATGACTCAGTTCTGGCTATAAATTTGGAGTTAGGAGACCTGCCACTCTGTGTGATGATCTTGAACCATGTTTTTCATTCTCTGCTTCTCTTACATCATAACACAGGGATACCTACATTAGCCAGAATATAACCTCCTGCTCTCACATGTGTGAAAGAAGACATGTACTGATATGTCCCATTAAAAATCATAGTCACAGTCCACATGTATGATAGAAGAGAGAGGAATGTAGTCTTCTGCAGGGCCCTGTTTAAAGGCAAAAGTGCTATTGCTTGATTTTCTACCACTAGAATCTAGAATAATATGAGTAAAGAAATAGTTAAAAATAGAACTACCCTTGAATCATATGCCACATGTCTCCATTTCAATGTGTTTCATTTCATTAATACAAAACATGTATTTTAATATTTACATATGTAATAATGTAACAATTCATGAACTTTTTCCACATGTGTAGAAAACCTTTCATTTGGCTCTGTGAGTCACCTCAGGACTGTTCTAAATACACTTGTGTCTTGGATTATCTCCCACTCAAGTGGTTCTTCAGGTCACGTGCAGATATAATGTTTTTAAGACTTTGAAATGTAGAAGTGTATAGGGAAATTAAAATGTGTGGAATGTCCAAGAGTTTTATACACTACATGAAAACTGGTACGTGGCATTGAAATCTGAGGATAAGAGGTAGACAAAGAAGACAAATGGAGCCAGAATATAAATGGCCTTCAGGTTTGACTGAGTCCTATTATTTATGATTTATACATTTAAAGTGCACATAAATCCAGAATCCCCTTAAAATACAAATGTTCCGGACAATAGGGCAGGAATAAGAGCCAAGGCTCAAAATTTCTAACCAATTCCCTGTGCCACAATTGTTGGTGGCCCAAAAAAACCACACTTTGAGTGTTAAAAGGTTTTTTATTTGTTGATTTTTCCTTCTTCTGCACAGAGGGTGCCTCAGAAGAAGAGATCAACCTCAGCAAGATGGTGATGAAATTCTGGGCCAACTTTGCTCGGACTGGGTGAGGCTGGTGGCAAAAATGGAAAAGAATTGGTGGCAGTGTATGCCTGGGCATACCTGCTGGCCTAGGGTTTGTTCTACACTTGGAGTCATCAAACACTAGACTCTGAGACCATAGCACTGTGACAGTGAGACTTCCCTGGAAAGCACAGGCTGCTTGAGAAGACGGGAACTTGCCTATCTCGGGAGGTAGATGAGTCTCTTGAATAGATGAAACAGTGGAAAGCTGAACATCTCTGGGAAAAAAAAGCGGGAGCATCAGTGGAGTGCACTAAAGAATTTCTCTTTGATTCTGTTCCCAGGAACCCCAATGGGGAGGGTCTGCCTTACTGGCCAGAGTATGACCAAAAGGAAGGATACCTGCAGATTGGTGCCACCACCCAGGCTGCCCACAAACTGAAAGACAAAGAAGTGGCTTTCTACACTGAGGTTCTAGCCAACAAAACATTGGTGAATCCACACCAGCAAGAACACATAGAACTTTGAAGTTATGATGCTGATAATTTCAGGATCCTGAGACAGTTAACACAATTTTATTCTGTGGCAGATGTTTGTAAGCTAAGCTTGCATAAGTTTGTGGTTGGTGAAGAATTGTTTTCTATATGATAGGCAGAGCCCAGGAATGGGTAACATTTTTGCAATGGCCTGAATTTGAAGATAAATATTAGTTTTGACAATAAAATCAATTCTTTGTGTTGAGCTGAACTTGAATCAGTCATCCTCATATAGAGCAAAGTAATGAGAGGCACCATGGGGAGTAGACATTTTTGCCATGGTCACTTGGTGAATGTCTACCCTGAAATCCAAAGGAAGGTCAGTCACTGGAGGAGATACAAGTTGTGAGCCCTGTGCAGCTTCCTCCTACAAGCGCTTGATGTAAATATTCTTAAAATGTTTATGAAAGTGACAAATGCCAAGTAGAGACTAGTATGAAAACCAAAATCCTTGGGAACCACAATGCAAAATGTAAATTTATTACCATCACAAGCTTTTCTCCATGGACATCTGTCAAGTGAAAGTGAGAGTTTGGAGAATGTTATTAAGATTGGAGAAATCTTATGTATAATGTGCAGGCATAGAATTCTGCTCATTTTCTACTAAGCAACCAAATTGTAAAATAAACACGCAAGTAGCAGTCAAAGCTGTTTGCCTAGTCAAAGCTGTGAAAACAAGAGAAGAGAAAAGGAAAGAAAGGAAGAGAAAAAGGAAAAATTTAAAATTCTATCCCTTCAGTTTTGATACAGATTTCAGTATCAAGATTCTTAAAGATCCTTCACTCCTAGAGAAGGGCAGGTTGGTGGAGACAGGCATCTCATAAACCATGGAACAGGTATGTCCTCGAGGCTAGACCAACACTACAGACAGCATTCCTCAGTAGAAGCAGACTCATACCAAGTAACCTAAATTTGCTTATGTAATGTTAAAACATTACGTAGAGCATTTATGGAAAATACTGTAAAATATGTAACATAGTAATTTAAATTACAGTGTTATAAGATTTAAAATTTCTCAATTGACATTGCATTGCTTTAATAGGCAACATGATCATTTGAAGTCAAGTATTGTATACCAAGTATAATCATTAAAGATTTTTTCAAAGAGATCTGCATAGTAACCAAATAGGCAAAGGAATATTGAATCTTTAAAATCTTCACCATCAATGCAAGGAAATAGGAAAAAAAACAAAGAAAAAACACAAAAATAAAAAGATTCTGTTGTAAAAAAATGATTAAACCCATCAATGAAAAAAGACTATCAGAATGAGTTTAAAAGACAAGGCCCAACAATGTGCTGCATCATAGTCAGATATTTGTACTTATTTTATAGTTGTCTGAGGAAAACTTTTAACCTCAGATCTCCTCTGACCTTTCCTGACCTTTGTCTAGAAAAACTTATTAGAAAGCCGAGTGCTTCTCCCACTGGTGCAGGGGGAAGATGCAAACCTCCCCAATCTCACAGTGGTCCCTTCCTCAAACACCGCAGCACCCCAGTCAGTCTTTCCTTGCTCTCTGAAGCCACGTGGATCAGTTCGGAAAGAGCTGTAACCCCCATACCAAAGACTATAAGAATAAGAATTGGGCGGAACAAAACTTTTTATTTTTCTGGTAGGGAAGTAGTATCACCAATCTTGATTTGAAAAGTAAACTTTGGAGAAAATTCAGTATAAATATAAGCAAATATGATGAATGTGTATTTAAAAAGATACACCCACAAATACTAAGAAAAAAAGAAAAAACTTTGTGTCCCAAATTATTAAAACAATGAATGTTGAAAAAATTTTTGGAGAAATTATTTAAAATTATAGTGATCAAGTCACTCTCTAGTAAAACTGAAGTAAAATCTTCTTAGATGTTGAAAGAGACTAGTACAACTAGGTTTTTTATATTTTCATTTCCACACTTTCTGATGCACACACCAAGTCGCAACCGTCTGTGATGTATGTATATCCAAGTTGATGGTTTGATGAAAAATAAAGTCTGGTTTATTATCCTTTGTGTTTATAAGCATCAATTGATGAGAAACTCTGGATATCACTACTTTCATTTTTGTTATTATTTAGAGCATTCAGATTTATTGAAGATAAAATGAGTCAAAAGTCAGAAGCCACTGAATTACTTTTCTTATTTTTTGAGAATGAATCTTCCTCTGTCTCCCTCTCCCTGTCTCTAGACCCCGTCTCTGTGTCCACTTTTCTGTCTTATCTTCACTGATTCACAAGTTGTTTCACACTTTCCCTCCTCTCTCTCTCTCTCTCTCTCACTCTTACTCTCTCGCTCTCTTTCTTTCATTTTCTTCTCTTTCTTGTCATAATTTTTCACTGATCTAGTTTTTATTCTAAGACAAGTTATCTTTAAGTTACTAAGTAATCCAAGAAAGACTCAGTGTTGCAGTCTTTCTGCTTCAGCGTTCCATGTTGAGCCACCAAATCTAGCAGTGCAAATCCACTTGCATTAAAAGCCACATCACTTCTCACTCTTTAGCAATCAAAATGCATATTACATGTCTCAGCTATATCAGGATTTCCTTGATTGTAAAAGCATAAAATACCTAATCACCTTCTCTTTATAAAATAATCTACTTTAAAAACTAAAATTACTCCTCGCTTCCTTCAAACTATTTTGATCCAGTTTATTATATTGCAATAAAATGAAATGTAAGGGCAAAGTACATCAAATATACATACAGTACCCTGTGTTTTGCCTAATATACCACACAAAGCAGTGTAACAGAGAAAATAGGCTTCTTTGTAGCCGAAGGATCCTGGGCTACTGGTTATGAGATACGGCAGAAGTTGAGTGAAACATAAACCTAAATAAATGGTTGAGTTAGCAACCAGTATCATTTATAGTGTTCTATAATACTTTAGGCAAAATGACCCGAATGTCACAATTCCATGACCTAGAAAGAGGAAAATCGCTGCATTTGTTCTTTTCTGATCTTTATAGAGTAAGTTCCTAAAAAGCTTCAGATAAAGGGGCAAAGGATTGCCTCCTCCAGTCTTACCTGTTTATTTTCTTTATTGAGGCCCTTGGTACTTGAGACCTTTTCCCCAGTTCTGAGTCCCAGTCCTCCTTCATCCTTGCCCCAGGCTCCCTGCCCCAACAGAGGTGGGGAGAGAGGGGATTCAGACTCAGGCCTTGTCCCTGGGATGCTGACTTCAGATGACTCAGGCTCAGATGAGCCTCACATCCTTTTCCCAGTATCTATCCTATGCATTCATAGTTCTTATTCTCTGTTGACACTTATGATGAGAATATACCATAATTGTTTGCTAGAAAGGGAAAGGCAGGGAGTGGGTAAACACACACAATGGACTTGCCATTAAATTGTGTCAGAATACAAACACAAGATGAATACAAACACAAATACAAACACTTGTGAAGAATTTCATGTTTCATAGGTGTTTTAAAATTCAGTAATTGACTGAGGATTGAGCAAGGAAAAAGAATTGGTGTTGAGGAACCATGGCAAGGAATGTGCAGGTGTTATGTTGATAATGTTACTGTAGCATATCTTGTGGACATGAGAAGCTGGTCCTTATACCTTGACCTGAGTGAAATGTTACAAGAAAAGAGATGAAAGTAGCCCACATTCTGTAAGAATGAATCACAACTGTCTTCCCTTGTGTATTGCCTGATGTCCAGCAAAATTCAGCAGTATAACAGGCAATACGGTCATTTCTCCCTTAGAAACTATAACAACATGTCTGAGGTACTTGGGTACTTTATAAAGAAGAAGCTCTAAAATTTCAAGACTATGGTGCTGGCTTCTGCATATGCATGTTAGGGCTTGACTGCATTTCAGTGGTGAGAGCATGTTTAGAAAAGAGTAGATGGTGAAACAGGCAACTAGAGACCTGGCAAAGTCCAGGTTCAATTCATTTTCTAAGAACCATTCTTACTAGAAGTAGCATGGTCTTGTTATAACTATAGTAATCTCCACTGAGGATGGTGATACAAATGTCTTAAGTACATCACAGTAGGCACACGTCATCACTTCCAACAACTTGCAGGGAAGCCATGCTGGACAGTCGTCCAGCACACAGGTCTTTTGAAACCATATTCAAACCATATTCAAACCACATTCAAACCACACTCAAACCAAATCATACTAAGAATTATGTGATTGAAGATCTGGTTAGCTGTTCATTCAACTGTCTGTATGCCAGTATAATATTGATGATGTGTCAGTCATTTCTTTACACTGTGCTTTTAATAAAATTGTATTTGAAGTTCTAACATTTGCCTCATAGAAATTTATTATATATATGAGTTGTATTTATTCATTGAGTGTTTCAGATAAATGTAATTTGGATTTTTGTTAATACATCTGAGTCCTTATTAAAATAATTGGCACATTATAAAATTTGTATTCTTTCATAAATTTAGGATACATAGTAAATATATCTTCATCAATCTTGTGTCCTTCATTTGATATTAAAGTCTTAATGACTGGGACAATATATGTTTCAAATTGCATGTAATGAACATATAGAAATATAGAATTATGCATATAGACATATAGACATATAAACATTATGCCTTTATTAATTCATGAAAACTGAATACTTGAAACATGGTCAAGAAACAGAATTAATTAGCTTTCCCAAAACTGTCCTGAGTCAGTACCATGCTTTGCCCACGGTTGCCTTCCTGCTCATCTACTCAACATGATAAATACCTTTTTATTTAAAATTTAAAGAACAGAAGATGGTAATTATTAACCTGGCTCTTAGCGGGATTTATAAATTGTTCCACTTAGTGATCTATATTAACTGAAGCACATGCTCTTGTCTCTAACTTCAACATCTTGTTTGTGAGATTCCCCTGTGTGTTGCACATGGTTGCGGTTTGCTCCTCATCGGTGTGTAAGTCATTTGTGGTGAAAATGAGCCATCATTTGTCTATTTCACAGCAGTGAACTTTTAGGCACTGCATGAATCTGGTCAGATGAGCATAACAAAACCCACAGGTAGGGAGACAGAAACCATACAAATTCACTTCAGCATAGTGCTGGAAACTAAAGCTTTCACACCAGAGTACTGGATGATTTAACTCCTGATGAGGACTCTCTTTGTGCTTTGCAACTTTTGTCACTATTTTGTCCTCACTTGGCTCTGTGTGTGTGTGTGTGTGTGTGTGTGTGTGTGTGTGTGTATACAGGAGAGGAATTTTCTTATAGTCGTTTTTCTTGTAAGAATCTTAAATCAGTTATATTTGACTAAGATATTTATGTTCAAATCAACCTTAATTGTCCTTGTACAACATTCTGTCTCCCAAATTTATTCACACTGGATGCTGAGTCTTCAGCACAGGAATTTGAGGAGTGACATAATTCCATCTATGTCTACAGATTATGAGGTTATTACAAACAGTTTTGTGAAAAATACACTAAAACTTGTCATTAGTTTTTATTTTTGAGACAAGGTCTCACTATATATTTCAGAGTGGCCTTGAATTTACTATGAACCCCGGACTAGACCCCAATTATGCTGCTTCTCCTGACTGACCCTCCTGAGAGAAGAGATTATGAAGGAGGGGCTTTCATGACAGGTGAAAGATAGCAAAGGTTATTACAAAAGACTGCCAAAATTACCACCTCCAGAAATGCCACCACATACTTTAAAAAATTGCTGTGAGGACGCTGCTGTGTCTTCAGGCTTGGACTGCTGCTCCCTTTGCCAGTGACCCTGGGAAACCCTCTTCTAATCCTTTTGGCCAGGGATTGTTGTCTCAAAATATTTCATGTAATCTTCATAATTTTGCTTTTAGTCTTACTTGCTTTCTTTCTTTCTCTCTCTCTTTCTTGCTTTTTTCTTTTTCTAACGACGTCTTACTATGCAGTCCAGGCTGGCCTAGAACTCACCATGTAGCCCAGCCTGGTCTCCATTTCATGCAGTCTTCTTACCTCAACATCCCAAGTGCTAGAAATCCAAGTATGATACACACATAGCAATTTTAGTTTTTCTTTAAAGACCTTGAATAGATATATGGTTTCCACATCATGCTTTTTCACATTGCAATGTGGGGTAAAACTGCATGAGCTCCTATGCATTGTCATATGGTTTATGGTTTGTGCTGTTAATTGCTTCTTGGTCAATAATAGTCTGATCTGGAAAAGAACAAGCTTATTATGGACTATGAGAGACAGATTACTCCTTTCTAGGAACCTGCCTCTGCCTGTGGCTATTTATAAAACTTCAGTCCTTAGTCTCTCATTCCAAGTCAATGAACTGAGAACATAATTTTAGAAAGAAATAAAGACATTTCACTTAAATATAAGACTAATGGTTATCGCACTTTTTGTTTAGATACTAAACAAAAGATCAAGCAATAAAAGCCTAAAGATTCAAAATCTTGTCCTGACTTTGAAGTGAGGTTGCTATGTGATCTTAGAAAACACCAGTTATCTCTAGGCTTTGGATTTTACTGAGTGAAAGGAAAAGCATTGAGTTCACTATATTTCTTCATTTATTTTTACTGCTTTGTCAATGTATCACAGACGATGTGGCTTAAATGACAGGAAAAATGTTCTCATACTTCTAGGAAGTGAAAGTCTATTTGAAGGTGCCATCAGAGTTGCTTATCTCTGAGGTCTTCTTTCTTGGCTTGCAAAAGGCTGTCCTGTTTTAGCCTTCATATGCAATGTGCTCTTTTTTCAAACATCCCCTAGTGAGTCTCTGCATGCCCAAATTTACTCCTCTTATAAAAACATATGTCAATGGCTTTGTTTGGGTGGAAAGAGTTTTAAAAACTTATTTCCCAGTATATTAATATTCTTAGGTACTAGTAGATAGATTTGAACACAATATAACCTTTATGTAGTATATTAATTTTTTGACTGAGGAATTGAGGATCTCTTGCCTTACATTCAGAATCTCATGAAGGAGACCAAGACCAAGATTCAACAGCAACAAATATATTCTAGGAGATGCAGGAGACAATGATGGGAGTAAGGAATTTGCAGTTTAGAAGGAAGTGTAGCTTAT